GTTAAATACTGTGCAATGATGTCACAAAGATTAGACATGATGATAGCTATACAATACTTCAAGGGGCACACGCCTATAATCATAGTAATCAGGAGACTGAGGCAGATCTCTGTGTTTGTGGCCAGCTTGGTCTACACAGCCAGTTCCAGGTCAGCTAGGCTCCACAATAAGATTCCCTCTCTGTCAGACACACACACACACACACACACACACACACACACACACACACACACACACACAAGGCTGGGGGTTATTACAGGCTCTAGTCTACTAATGCATTAGGTAGGCAATTTGGAATCTGAGATATTGGAGAATTTGAGGGGACTCTAGAGACACCCCCGTTCCTGTGACTAGTGGCATTAGCTGTCCAGTGGAAGTCTTGTGGAACCTGTAACAGCATCGATAGTGCTCCCCCGGAGGACCCAATATCTGGCTAAGGTCGGGGATCATCTTGTCTTCAGGTGAAGGAACTGGTATTCAACAGGGAAAGTGAATCCCCCAAGGGCCAGCCACCCACTGCCACGGAGCCAGGCCCTGGCTCATGTTGGAGGATGGTCTGGCCTCCGTGGAGGGCCTTTCCAGGGTGGCAGGATGGAAGTGGGCAATTCTGTGGCTTTAGGGGTGTGGCCGGCTCATGCATGTGGTGTTATGTGATGTTGTGTGGGGTCATAGTCTCTGTGTGTAATGATCGTTATAACTGCTGTCCCTTGGGAGGGCACAGGGGGCTGAGGTCTTCTCCTTGCTCCTGGGAGTCCCTAGCTCACCCCAGCAGCCAGGTCCTCCATGCAGGAGAGGCAGGAAGGAGTCGTCCAGCTGGAGGCCTGCAGATCTCCTTCCTGGCTCTGGGCCCACCTTTAGAGGCTTCTGTACTTCTGAGAAGACACATGTGTGCAGGGACTCTGTGGCCCTTTCTCCTCACCAGCCTGCGAACATTTTAGGAAACTAGGCAATATGGTTTTGCTCCGGGGCTCAGTTGGCCTCCTGGTAGGACGGTCAACACGGACAGCTCAGGCTTTGTGAGAACCCGGATGGGCCTAACCACGTTCTGAAAAGCAAAGAGCAGGCTAGCTATGTGAGGTCAGGAGGCAGGTTAGCTCTCCCCACGGCGGCCAGAGGCCTGCCTGGGAGAGGAAATTTCCTTCATACACCCACTCCACTCCATGCCCTCACTGAGTTCTGGTCCCTGCCCACACTGGGAAGTTAATGGGTATGGTTGTTGTCCCTGTGGATAAACAGCTGCCCCCCAACTGTCCCTTTAGCTATGTAAGTCCTCTCAGGGGGCCCTGCTGCTCCCGGCAGGGTAGAGAGATGGGGCCCAGATCAGCCACTTCCTCCTGCAAGGGAAGTCAAGTCAGAACCTTTCTCTAGGGAGTGGCCGGTGTGGGCAAGGGCCTGAGCTTACAGACATTTCTCTCGCAAGAAGCAGTTTGGCTTTGTGAGGTAAAGACAAGCTTTGCCCCACAGTTAGAGGCAGGAGGCCCGTGCTTATTGGTCAGGCCTGGCCCAGCTTGGGCTCTGGAATCTGCAGGCCCAGGAGATGGCAAAGGAGAAAGCCGGAGGGTGCTCCTCAGAGCTTGCTAGTCACTTCCCGAAAGCTGGGCCTGCCCCTAGGCGGGGAGAAGCTCAGAGCCCGCCCACCCTGTCCGTCCTTACTTGCTGCCTTGGGGTTTGCCCAGGCTCTTCAGAGCACTGAACTTACAGTAAATGCTGTCACCAGTGGAAACTCTCAGAGGGGGCGAGGAAAGGACCAGGACTCCGGGCCCCAGTTCCCGTCTTAGCGTACTGCCCCCCCCCCCCCGCCCCCCAGATTCATTTCGCCCACCTTTCAGTAAAGGGGCAATGCCTTCCTGGTAAAGGGCTTGCGGACCTCCCTCTGGGATGTGTCAGGAAAAAAAAAAAAAAAAACCAAAAAACAAAAAAGGGTTGAAATGCCCATCTGGCCACAGCCTGCAGGAGCAGCAGCCCGGGACTGACCACCATCCAGCTTCTGGCTTCCCTTACCCGACTCTGGAAATGGGGGTTTCCTTTGCGCCCGGCTAGGGGCCTCGGTTGGCTCAGAAAGCATTCAGAATGTCGGGCTGCGGCTGAGCACGCTCACATCTGACCTTCAAAAGAACTGGAAGCCGCTTGGCTTGATGAGCAAGGTCAGAGTCCTATGCTCCTCCACCACTTAAAAAAAAACAAAAAACCACGCTGCACTGGGTTTAGATGATTGGCAGTGTAAGTGATAAATCCCATCTCTCCTCAGCCTGCAGCTCACTCCTGACAGATCATTTAGGGCAAATTTTAAATGTCAATTTTTCTTACCTCTGTTAACCGCTATGCTTTTGAGTCAACGTTCTCATGCCAACAACTGATGCTATCAGCCAGTCAGTCAACAAGCATTTAAGTTCATTTGGCACTTAAGCAGCCATTTAATACGTGTTTAGATACTTAAAGCAGATTTTATAATTGCTTGCGCCATGTTGACCCAGTATTTTATTCACCATAGTTTTCAAGCTTGCCTGGTCATTAGAATGACCCAGGACACCTGTTAAAAGCTCAGATGTCCAGAGCTAGGGCAATGGCTTAGTTGATAAAGCACTGATGTGAGGACCTGAGTTCGGTTCTCTACACCGGCTTAAAAAGTGGGGTGAGGGGGTGCGCGCCTGGAATCTCTGCCATGGTGAGACTGGAGGCAGATCTCTGGAAGCCTGTGGGCCAGCTGAAGTTCCAGGCCAGCGAGAGACCCTCTCTCAAACTGTGGAAGGTGCGAGGTGGTGGAGGGGGAGTCACCTTCTGACCTACACACACACACCTCTTGCATGTATGCACCTGCAGCCATACAGGTGTACACACAACGCACATGCAGAAAAGAGAAATTTCTCCTCAGATCCCAACTCTGCAAAAATAAGAGCTGCCTGCCAGCGCAGGTGGCTTCTGAGCTGAGATTCCTTTGCCCCTCCAGCCAGGTTGCCTTTCTGGCAAGCTGGGGAGGCCCCAGTACTTAGCAGGGGTCTGTTCTCTCAGGTCTGGGAATCCCATGGTCTGGAGAAGCTATTGCTTCTCGGCAATTGCTATGTACCGGAGCGCCATGGCGGCTGGTAAATGATGCAGTCCCCTACCAACACGGAAAGATGTTTCCGGATGAAATGCTCGTTGCTTCTATACTGAGGCGGAGAGCACAGGACTTACCTGAGGCTCCCCTCCTATGGTTTTAGCGAATCCACTGTCAGTTGTGATCTGAGGATTCTCAATGGAAAGTTCCAGAAGTAAACAAGTCTTAAGTAACTCCGATTATAGTTTGTAGTCATAAATGTTCCGTTCCATGATTATTTGTTGATAATCGCTTCCTATGTTTATAAACTTCCTCATAGGTTTACACGTAGAGAAAACACAGAGTGTTAATGGGCACTGTCCAGGGTTGGGGGATGGTTTGGAACAGGATTGGGAAACTCAACAATTGTGGCCAGGGGCGAGCAGGAGAGAACGCCGAGTCCATGGTCGAGCCTCAGTATTCAGAAAGGGCTCGCTCTAAACATCCTAGAGGGTGAAGCAGTGGCGCTTCGGCGCTCGTGAGACATGTGCGAACACAAGGCACTTGGTGTGCGTGGTGGGGGTGGAGTAAACCGGCAGAGAGTGTTCCACACACAGCTCTCCCACTCTTAGGGTCTGGCCCGATCGCCAGTTTCTCTTGGTATATGCTTGCCACTCTCAGCCCAGAGGCATACATGCAGGCATGTTTGCACACGTATCCATAAGAGCACAAGTGTGAGCTCATGCACACACACACACACAACACACACACACACACACACACACACACAACTTGTGTGTATGTTTGGTCCCTGGTGAAGCAACAGTGCTGGGGGGGGTGTGGTGCCAGCAATGGACGAGGACGTCCCTGAGAGGTATTAATGCCGTTCTCAATTTCTTTTCTATTGTTTTCTTCCTCTCCTCACACTCTCTCTTTTTTCCTTCTCTCCATCCTCCCCCCCCTCTCCCTTTCTTCCCTTTTGGTGTACTGGCAGTTGAACCTAAGACTTCGTTGTCTTACCACACTAGGTGTGCTTCCCCAGCCCTTTGGGCTCATTGATCTAGAGACGCAGTGACAGGCTCTCTACTCTATTTCCTCTCTAGCCTGGGCTGGCCTCCCAATCCTCCTGTGTCCCACACGCTGGCTGCTAGGATGACAGGTCTGTGCCACCGTGCCCAGCTCATCTCACTTCTGAGGGATGGGGTTGGGTTATCACAAGGGGATTGTTATAAAGAGACTCACAAGAGATTGTTATAAACCTCTCCTTTCTATTACACATGAGCTTCTTTTTTAAAATTTTTTTGGTTTTCTCAAGACAGGGTTTCTCTGTGTAGCTTTGGAACCTGTCCTGGATCTCGCTCTGTAGACCAGGCTGGCCTCGAACTCACAGAGATCTGTCTGCCTCTGCCTCCCGAGTGCTGGGGTTAAAGGCGTGCGCCAGCACCACCCGGCATGAGCTTCTTTTTTACACCCCCTGCTTGGCCATCCACTTTTCCACCATTCATGGCTCTCCGTCACCATATCCTTGAACCAACAGAACTCTGAGCTAAATAAACCACCCAGCCTCCAGTGTTTTGTTATAGTCATAGGGAAGGGACAGATGGGACTATGAAATTGCCATTTTTATTAGCCAAAACAGACAGTTATCAGCAGTTTGCCTGTGGGTCATATGGGTCAACCTGATATTTGTGCCCACCCGCATACCTAAGTGCACCCATACAAACATCTGTGTACGCATGCACACATCCTCATGTGCACATGAATTCTCAGTGGCCCTTCTTCATGTCTGTGCTGATAGAAAATGACTCTCATCCCCCCACCCCCTCACCCCCACCCCCCCCACCCCCCCCACCCCCCCCCCCCCCCACCCCCCCCACCCCCCACCCCCCACCCCCCACCCCCCCACCCCCGGCACTGCCTTCCTGCCCCACCCACCTCCCCACCTTCCCCGATACTCATCATCATGCCGATTGTCCCTTTCCAGGAGAGTGAAGACCTGGAGAAACAGAATGCAGCTCTGCGCAAGGAGATCAAACAACTCACAGAGGAGCTGAAGTACTTCACATCCGTGCTGAGCAGCCACGAGCCCCTGTGCTCCGTGCTGGCCAGTGGCGCCCCCTCGCCTCCTGAAGTGGTATACAGTGCCCATGCCTTCCACCAGCCTCACATCAGCTCACCACGCTTCCAGCCCTGAGCTTCCAGACAGGAAGAGGACGGAGCCCCAGTTGATGCTCCTCCCGTGGGCCTTCGGAGGGGCATGTCAACCGAGGCCAGGCTACCCTCATACCTCCATCTGGAGACCCAGTGGCAGAGGCCTGGACAAGGATTGAACACAAGAATTGTGCTGGCCAGAGGGACTTGAAGCCTCCCACCAGAGTGTAGCCAATGTACTGGACCCCACATGAGTGGAAAAGCAGCCCCGAGAGTCATGGATGATGCCCAAGACCTACAGCACAGAGGAAGGAGGGCAGGGAGTCGATAGTTTTCTAAATAAATGTTTTCTAAGAAACCAGCCCTGGAAAGCGGCTTTCCTTGTTTCCCCATGAGCGTCCTACAAACCACTTTCTTTTGGTTTGAGACCTGATTTTTCTCTCTGGCTTCAGGAAGCGTCTCCAGACTCAAGGGATTCTACGTCTATCTCTTTTCCACGTTTGGTTCACCTGTTTGAGAAGCTGGTCTCTTTTCAAACCGTCTTCAACCTCTAGATATCTCCCTCCCTCTCCTCCCCAGATCTGCTCCGTGTGACCTGCCCAGCCCTGCCTGCCTCTTACCCCATTCTTTCTCTAGGTGCAGTTAGAGAAAGCATTTAGCACAAGATGCCGGTCTGGAGAGATGGGAGTCGGGGAGATCTCAGTTTCTCCCATCTGGACACCTTCCCAGACGGCTGCTCCAGCCATACGGTCAAGTCTCCAGGATGCCATGGGCCAGGTTCCTTGCTGGGAATCTTGAGTAACACAAAGTCAGCTCCTCACATTCAAGGGAGCAGGTAGCCTTTTGCCACACCCTGCCGAAGACGCCCTTAGGAAATCGGGTGGCTGCCACCTGTGCATCTAGAGTGTTCCAAGGTTGAATGGCTCAGGGTGGTGTTCAGTCTGGACATCTGGTTGGAGTCAGTGTGCTTCCTTTTTCCCTCTGATACCCACCTGTTTCTCAGAAGTCCCCAGGCCCCATGTCTGCTGGCCTTCGTTATAGCCTTACCCACAGCACTGCCCAGGAGCAAGAACAGATGTCTCCTCTAAGGCTGCTGTGGAACCTGTCCACCTCCACAGTCTCTACTGAGTGGCTGGGTACCAGCGAGGCAGACAGCACAGGACCAGGCTTCTGTTGCAGACCCAACCTGTAGTCTCTCAGAATAGCCAGTCACTGAGTGGCTGGGTACCAGCGAGGCAGACAGCACAGGACCAGGCTTCTGTTGCAGACCCAACCTGTAGTCTCTCAGAATAGCCAGTCACTTCTTGTTACCCGCCTCAGGACTGTGGTGAAGGGGAGGGAGGAGCCAGCCACTTGCCTGTCAGCAAATCCTAACCCATTGGCTAGTGGCTCTGGCTCCTTTGAGGCCTCATTTGATGGCTTCTGCCCAGGTGTCTCCTACCTTCCAGGATGAGGGCAGTGTTGGGCAGATGTAAGCCTTAAACTTCACAAGCCTGACAAACCTGCCCCCTGACGGTGGCTTCCTTGGGACTGGCCTGCGAGAGGCTCTCCCAGCCGTCACTGAGGTGGGGGCAGCGGGGAGGCTCTCCTCTTGGAAGCCATTGCCCCTGCATGCCCCAGAGTAGGGTTAGGCTGAGCCCCTGACTCAGAGTTTGGGGAGACTGCCCAGAGCTACCTCCATTGAACACTCATTTTTTTTTTTTCCCTCCAGTGCTGTATCTGGAATCCTAATCTTTGGTCTCCCGACAAAACCGGCAAATTGGGGCTTCTCTTCCGGAGCAGAGGTTCCATGTGGCCTGGGACATGTGATGAAGAGCTGCCCTCTCTCCAGCTCCCTACAGGCCCTGGGACTTGGGAGTTCACGCTCTGGTCCTCTTTCCCACGCCTCTGAGAGCTGGCCAGACAAAGAAACCACTTGCTCCAGGTGTCTCATGTACCACCTCTCTGTCACAATCTTAAGACCTAGAACTTGGGGTCCAGTTTTCTTTGCAGCTGACCACAACTTGGCCTTTCATAGGCAGGCTTCTTTCCAGTCAGAGGTGTCTCTCCCGAGCCCTGCCGTAGCATGGTGATTTCCCCCCAGAAACCCCACACAAGGCACATGACTGGCCTGGGTATCTTCTGAGACTCGGGGCCAGAACTAGAAATGTGAGCTCACGTGTGCCCCTCCCATCTCTCAGCGAGGACTGCTGTTCCCCTTTCATTCCACTTTCTAATGACCCTGGGGGGTTCCACTTCTCCTTTCTCAGAAGCCTGCTAAAAGAGCAGAAGGCTGAGGCTGGGGACGGGGCCTCGGGTCGGGCACCTGTTGAGTACAGACTTGAACTTCCAAAACTTCGCCGACGACGACAGTGGACGTCTTATCCCAGCTAGCTGCTCATGACAGGAATGGCACCCCACCCCCACCCCGGCCTGGACCAGCTGATTCACGCTCGACTGTTCTTAGGCCCACACAGATTCTGTAAATGCAGTGAATTGGAGAGTGTGACACACCAAAAGAGTATGTCATGTTTCCGTAGTTCTGTCCAGTAGGAATTCAGGCACAGTGATTGCTGCATCTCCCAATTTGTAAGAAAAGGTAAAATCAGAACTCCTACGGGAGTTTCTCTTTTTCTTTCTAAGTGTGTGTTTTTCTCCACTTCCAGTACTGAGGATGGAACCCAGGGCCTCCCACACGGCCGGCAAATTCTCTGTCACTGAATTGCACCTCAGCATCCAAACCCAACTGTAGATTGAAGCTTCTCGGTCCTGCCCAGACAGCAGCCATTTTTTATAAAATAATCATTCAGAGGCTTAATAGTAATTACAAACTGTTTGGTCTCTGGCTCAGGCTTATCTCCAGCTAGCTGTTACATCTTTAGCACATTTTTATTAATCTATGTATCACCACGTGTCTCGTTGCTTTACCCATGTTCTCTCACATCTTGCTCCCCCAGCGGCTGCAGTGTCTCCCCAACCCCACCTTTCTTCTCCCTGTATCTCTCCTGGATTTCCCACCTGGCTATATCCTGTGTTGCCATATGTCAAAACATCTCCTTTATTAACCAATAGTAGCAGCACATATTCATTGCATACAGAAAGAGCATCCCACAGCACCCAGTTTTTAGGATTGTGAGTTGGTCTGTTTATTTGAGGCAGGATCTGGCTACATAGCCTTAGTTGGTCTGGCACTAAATAGTCCAGACTGGCCTTAAACTTGAAGCACTTCTTCTGCCTCAGCCTTTTGGTGCTGGAATTACAAATGTGTTCTACCATGCTCTGCTCCAATTTTTAAAAGAATCTGTGAACCCACAAACTATAATGAGGGGTCACATTTGCCCCTAACATCTGCATGGCTTGGGACAAAGTACAAAGATCACAATATTTATAAGTCTAAATATTTATATACTCTTCTCTTCTTCCCTGGCAAGGACAACTTCCCATCAAACCCCCCCCCCCCCCGAAATGCCAGCTTTAGGCTTTTTAGACACTTTGGAATTTTATATCAATACAGGTAGTGGGGGAGACAGCCTGCCCTCCAGCTACAGCTGATCTGCAAGAGCCAAAGTTATATTTAAGTTTTGATTACTATGCCTCAGAAATCTATGAAACAAAAATCCCTCTGATCTGTAAGGAACCCATTTGGTACATTAATGTTGGTCTTGGTTCCCTAGCCCCTTTCTTCTAGGACTCCCTTGAGCAACTTTGGGGTGCTGAAATAAGTAAGAGAGAAGGGAACCAGAGGGATAGAGACAGCCTACCTGTCCTCCAAATAAGTGGGACACCCAGATGCCTCACCTCCTGTATCACAAAACCACAGCGACAACTGTGACACCGGCTGGAAGTATTAATTAATATGCATTGCTGGTAAGCTGTGGTCCAGCAACAGTAACCCCGTGACCTTTGAGTTCACTGGGCTCCCTTTCTCTCCCCACCCACACTATCTGCCTAAGGACAGATAGTTCCTGAAATGCTGAAGGCTATTGTTTATGGGAGAGAACAAGCCATATGTTTTCACTCCCCTAAACAAACTTGTTTGACCCAGCTGTGCCAGATGTGCTTGATCACATGTGGGCGGGAAGTACATAGGCAGGAAATACTTCAGGATGTATGCCTGCCCCTGACCGAATCTGATGGGAAATGTGAATCGTGGGTTTGGCCTTCTTAAGTCCCAAGAAAACATGACTTGGGGCCATTTTCTGGAAACCCAGAGATGGACCTGGCCAGAGTCCATCCACCTGGCCAATATTTAATTAAAGCTTGCTTCAAATTTGACTTTAAACTGCAGTAGTGGTCTTATTCTCCACCGGTGGGATCAATTAACACTTCCTCCCTCCCTGGCTCCTAGCCACAGCATCAGAGTCTGTCTACACTCCAGCTCTAGGAAGAATAATCCTGGGAAGAGCTGCAGCCCGGGAGGGAGCATTGACTCACTGGATCCTGATGTCCCGGTCACACAGGGCTTTGGGGGCTCTGAGGAAGCATGTCTCCTTCATCCTAAGGACCTCGTGTCCCACCAAAAGGAATATACAGGAGACAGATGAGCGTTGGCCCCTGTAAGGTGGGGAGTCCAGAGCAGGGAGCCCTCCTGGATGAGTCTAGAGTGGGACTTCTGAGGTCTGACCTTTTCTTCCTGACCTGGGTCAACAGCATCTCCTGGGAAAGTCCAGGCTACCAGAAGGCAGGCAGCGGGTGTGAAGAGGCATGAGTGCTGCCTGTTGCCATGACCCCCTCCAGAATGCTCGCGTCCCCACCCGCTACCCGCTGTGTACCTCTTACTAGCAGGATCCACGCGAATCAATTACGAGAAAGCCAGAACTTCAGTCCTCCGGTTGAGAGGAGTGTGGGTGGGGAGAGAAAGGGAGCCCAGTGAACTCAAAGGTCACGGGGTTACTGTCTGCTGGACCACAGCTTACCAGCAATGTATATTAATTAATACTTCCAGCTGGTGTCTCAGCTGTCGCTGTGGTTTTGTGATACAGAAGGTGAGGCATCTGGGTGTCCCACTTATTTGGAGGACAGGTAGGCTGTCTCTATCCCTCTGGTTCCCTTCTCTCCTACTGATTTCAGCACCCCAAAGTTGCTCAAGGGAGTCCTAGAAGAAAGGGGCTAGGGAACCAAGACCAACATTAATGTACCAAATGGGTTTCTGTTCTGCTTTGTTCTGTTTATTTATCTATTTTTAGACACTGAGAATTTCTATTCTATGTATCCAGACTGGCCTCAAACTTGAAAACCTCCTCCCTTGGCCTCCTGAGTGTTGGGATTATAAGACTAGAGTGGATTAACACCTTAAGACCTACCAGGGATAGTCCTTGACTCAAAGGTGTGAG